CCACATTTGCTGGAAGGTGTTGAGAGAGGCCCAAATCGAGCCTCCGATCCAGGCACTGTACTTCCTCTCAGGTGGCGCCACCACATTAACCTTCGTACCGCTGGGAGCAAGAGCAGTTATCTCTTTGCTCATACGTTCGGCAATGCCCGGGAACATGGTGGACCCGCCACTGAGCATGATATTCCCGTAAAGATCCTTCCTTATATCCACGTCACACTTCACGATAGAATTATGAATCATCTCGTGAATCCCGGCAGCTTCCATCCCGTTCAGTGACGGCCGGAAGAGGGGCTCCGCGCAGCGGAACCTCTCGGACCCTATGGTGATGAACTGCCCGTCGGGCAGCTCGTAGTTCTGTTCGACCGCCGAGATGTCTTTGGCATTTTTTTCCAACTCCCGTTCGAAGTTGAGTGCCACGTAGGCAAGCTTCTCTTTTACATCAATCATGATTTCCTGTGGGATATTGTGTGTGAACATGTAGCCTCTCTCGGTAAAGATCATGACGAGAGAGAGAGTGAGGTCGAGGCCGGCGAGGCCCAGACGCAAAATGGCGTGGGGAAGGGCGTAGCCCTCGTAAATCGGGACCGCGTGGCTGCTTCCAAAGCCTGAATCGAGAACTATGCCGGTTTTACGCCCACTGGCGTACAGTGAAAGCACGGGTTGAATAGCAACATACATAGCCGGAAAACTGAAGGTCTCGAACATGATCTCAGTCATTTTCTTTCGGTTCGCCTTCGGGTTGAGAGGTGCCTCCGTGAGGAGAATGGGGTGGTCCTCGGGAGAAACACGGAGCTCGTTGTGGAAAGCGTAGTGCCAAACCTTCTCCATGGCATCCCAATTGGTGACTATGCCGTGCTCGATCGGGTACTTTAGTCTGAGGATGCCTCTTTTACTCTCGGCCTCTTCACCTACATAAGCATCCTTTTGACCCATCCCGACCATCACGCCGCTGTGGCGAGGGCGACCGACTATGCTCGGGAAAAAACTGCCCTAGGGGCATCATCACCAGCAAAACCATCCTTAACCGTTCGAGATCCGTTATCGATAACGATAGGTTGAATATCTTCCCCCGCCATTGTTGCTTACGCTCTCTCTTATAAAGATTCGGGGTTTTGGTTAGTATGCTTCGATCTGCTTGTTCGGCTATGGAGAGGGAGAACGACGAAAAAAATGAGATGCGAAAGCTATTCACAATTTTACCAAGTCCTTCAGTTTTATAATCCAAGAAAACAAACTTCCCCGAAAAAATGGAAAGTAAATCTCTGTACCTTCGTGGGCCTTCATTCAACCGTGATCGATGTCGATTATTTGTGTAATCAAGGTAAGTTTTCCGAACATGAAACGGCTGAAAAGAAGAAAAAAATATCCATTGAGAACCATTTTTTTTTTTGTACATGGACCTTCCGGTTTCCGGATCCACAGGAGAACCGACTAATCGGGAATCGAGCCGGGTAGGACCACAAGGGCGGAAAAGCTCTTCCTCAAGAGTTTTTAACACTGCTGCATTCTCAGGGCTCGAACACGAGACCACTGGTTAAGCTGGAAGAGACCCAAGCCATCTCATCCAAACCAAATTTGAAAGGGAGCTGTTGATATCAAATTTTGTGCAAGAACTTGGCGAGGTGCATTATAAATATGTTGGAATTTGTGTAATGTATAAAATAAGACGCACATTGACCGGTTGAACCTACCGGTTTTTGGACGGTTTTGAATGGTTTGACTGGTTCAACCATCCATTGACCGGGTTTTGACCGGTTTTGCTTGCAAACGGTTTGTTATGGGAAACCGGACCGGTGGACTAACCGGTTCCCGGTTCAACCGGTCGGACCGGCCGGTCCGGTCCGGTCTGGTTTTCAGAACACTCGTAAAATAAGAGAGCATGCTCATTCTTTTCTAAAAAAAAATTCTCCTCCATAATCTAAGGTTTTTTCTTTTCTCGTTATCCTTTTCATTTTGTTCTTTATCAGGCTACCTAGATATTTAGTTTTTTCTCGGTTATCTGCCGGCCGCTGTCACCGGCAGCTGGATTCCGGCCACTATTCAGGTTCTCACTTTCCGGCTTTCAGTTTAGTTTTTCTCTTTTCCCATCTTCTATTTTCCATCTGGTTTCTTTTT